TTTCACTGCATGTTTAGAACAAAGCGACTGAGAGTCATGATGGGACGCCACTGGAGATTAAACAATCTGAGCTCCGTACTTCTCCTGCTTTTATTTGGGACACGTTTCGTCGGTGCTGCAGGTAAGTAACCAGCATACAGTTGCTTTACCTGCTCTGTTTTGTGTTTTTAAAATAAGCACTGGCTGCTGTGGTTGCTAGAATAAATCAGTAAAACAAAAAATCGTAAACATAAAGTAAACATGTAAACAGTTTTACTGACCAAACAGTAATTACAAAGGTGTTGAATTGTAAAAATAATTTGATTGCCCCACAATTGTCCAGAAAATAGTGATTTAAAATGGTTATTTTGGTAATAAATATAGTAAATATAACAAACTTTTTCTGATGTATTATCTTGATAATGTTATTATATATTTACTTGCAGTAAGATTTATTACTTGTACATTCATTTTAATGTGGCCTTACTGGAGGTAACAACTAAAACTGTTAAAATGCCAATATAAAAATTTTTATTAATATTTTCTGTAAACAAAATTTAAATTTACTTGAAATATTATTATAACATCTACCAAAAAAAACATTTATCATTTACATGCAATGATAAAAAACCAAGGGAAGCCACATATTAAGGCTAAAAATAACAGTAAGAACGTCGTTCCACATTCATCCCTTTGATTTATTTTCATATCATTGAATTTTTTTGTCTTGATTTCACAGAATTTCACCAAGTTTCTTTTCAGTGTGTTTAACTTTTTTATGTTAATTTTCACTCTTAATCTTTTTATTATAGGAGGTCACCAACTTTGTTTTACCTATGGATGTTTTGACTCCAGTGACACCCAGCTCTACGTGACTTTGGACGATGATGAAATATTTTATGCAGATTATAAAAACAACACTAGTGTCTGGGATGAGAAAATAGCAACTTTGAAATATAGATATACATCCACTGCACGTGAATATGTAGAAATATGTCGAACCGTGTGCAATAAAGACATACATCGATGGAAACCGGACCCAGACGTCAGAAGGACTAAAGGTAGGTAAACCTCAGTTTTAATTTGTTACTATTGAACAAAGTTTCTCCAGAATCACAAAACAAGCTTATAATGAATAACTTCCCAATTTATTTTTTTAGATCCACCAGAAGTGATTATTTACACCAAAGATGAAGTGATTGAAGATGTAGAGAACAGTCTTGTGTGTTTTGCCAACAACTTTTTCCCGCCTGCCATCGACATCAGGTGGACCAAGAATGACAAAGAGGTGGCAGTGGAAGATCCCTTCATCAAAACTATTTCCAACTCTGACGGGACGTTTCATGTTTTCTCCTACCTGAACTTTGTTCCAAAGCAAGGAGACATTTACAGCTGCACTGTGGAACATGAAGCCCTGGAGGAACCCAAGACCAGGTTTTGGGGTGAGAAAGTCTTTTTTTCTATAGCTTCAAAACTTAAATTGTCTCTACTGGTGTTGTAGCTTGAATTTCAAATATTTTTTCCCCTGTTCTCTTTTTCTTTAGATGTTGAAACAGAGGAGATGAGTGTGGGTCCAACCGTCTTCTGTGCACTTGGTCTGACTCTTGGGCTGCTTGGAACTGCTGCAGGAACTTTCTTTTTTGTGAAAGGAAACCAGTATTGTGACACCCCAGACATTGCTGCTTAATGCATAGCATAAAAGAGTAGCCTCCTTTTTTACTTTATTTGCATAGAATAATCTTTAGGCACTTTCAGGTTTTACAAGCAGGTATTTTGCACATATGTTATGTTGGTGTAACAAGAGGAAGTTTGTAAATGTTTGTGTTAGCTTAAATTACTTCCAGTAAAATGACACACTAGGGTTTAAATGTCTTCCATATATATAACACTACCATGCAGATGTGTTGCATCTGTATATGTCTGATCAGATGCAGCGTCAGTAACTTATTCAACAAGGAAATCATTTAAAATTTAAAATTCCTGTTTTCTATATGCTGTTTGACTGCTGTATTACTTAAGTCTACAGTTAAAGAAGAATTTAGATTATAATATATTTTAAGAAAACCTCTGGCTCAATCTTCTTCACACGGATCCCAAGCTCTACCGGCGGGCCGAAGTGAAGCCACACAGAAAACAACAATCAGCGTCGACGTCACAGAATTTCAGAGTTTAATCCAATGGGCTCTTTGCACCTCAGCTTCCGCGTTCGGGGAAAAGCGGCTCGATTGTTTCCGATCCAATACAAATATCATTTACACTCAGTGCTTGCAATGCTTGGCCAAGGTTTGTACATCGATCCGAAGCCCCAACAAGTCAGCTGGAGAGAGGTTTTAAGATGTACGCCTCGTTATACATTCACTGACACGAAGGTGAGTTTTACTTAAACTTTGTGGCTAACATTAAACTTAGCTTATGCTAGTAGGCAATATTCTCGGACATTGTTCTTGTAAAAATGTGCTATTTAAGTATCTAAACATTCTAACGGACAATGTTTTTACCTTATTTTCAAGTATATTATGTGTGTTTATTGTCGTTAGTGTCACAGACTAACGGGGTTCGGTTACGGTTCGGACTTTTTACTTCCGAAGCACAACGAAGCTCAACAAGCCTCATAGCTTGACAGTAGCGCAGCTCTGGTGTCAGAGATCTGGTTCAGGTGTTCAGGTTTAAAGTTGCTGCTTTTAGAAAAATATGACCGTGTTGCTTCATGTCTCCGTGTTATTTCGTTGTATTACCTTTGCATGTTTCTTGTGAAGAGCTCAGATAGGACGGTGTTTACAGCAGTATGTACAGGCGGATCAGTTGCTCGGCTGTCTGGCTCTGGTCTGCTCTCTCGTTCCCATAAACTCTTTCAGGCTGAATACAGAAGTGATTCCATGGAAATAACTCAGGGAGGCTCCTTTATTTACCATCCGTATCCCCGGTATTTTTAGGCTGATCCGGAGTGAAGTGAAGGCTGCAAACTTTGCTGTGCGGCGTTAGCTTCAACTGGTAGCACAGATATTTACAAGCCATCTTCTTAATTCAGGATCGCTAGGAGATTAATGAAAACTTAAAAGCCCATTATATTAGGAAGACAACAATGACCTTCGTAGGTTATAAAAACCAGGAGCTCAAGTGGGAGGTGTCAAGTTAAAACAGCAAATGGTACACTTTTGAATGCATTTCCCATCTCCATCCAACTGGCACGTTCCATACAAAGAATCAAGCGCACCCATCTCTTTCACTTCTCAAACTCAGCAGCCAAATCTATAAGGTAACTTGCACACCTGTGCTCATAATGATCTCTTTTCAGACAAAGATCCTCAACTGAAAGCTTTCTCAAAGACACCACAGGTTTTCAACTTACTGTGTGGCTAAAAAATAGGAATAAATAGGAAAATCTCAGTTGAATGTAAATAGTAATTTTTGTCACATATATATGTAACTGTGTATCGGTCTGTGTGCTGAATCTCATGACAACGTGTGTAGACAATCAGTACTACAGTTATTAAATGAATATTGTGGAAAAATTATCAAAAGTCTGGTACGAAGACTGATAATAATCAAAACATAAGTTTATGCATAAGAGACAAAAAAAGAGGATCACGCTCTGTGCATCAGTGGTTTTGATCTTATTAATAGAGCAATTTGTCTCTCTATCTTTGTCAGAGAACTTTGTGGAAGAAAGTTGTGATTTCTGATACAGACCTGGAACAAACCAGATTTGTGATTAGATTATCGACAAACAGTAAATTAACACTCAGTGATGAGGCTGAAAGGGTCAGAAGAGCTTATAAAACATGTTGTGACAGTAGTTTTCCACTGTATGCACAAAGCACAACATAAAACTTTCAATTACAGTACAAAGGTCAACGATAACAACCCCGACACATTTCTTGACAAAGCTCCCCTCTCTGTCATAAACTATAACTTGGAGAACTTTTCAGTTTCAATGTTTTCAGTCACACATTTCACTGCAGTCTCTCCATGTTGTGAAGAAAAGTTATAATCTAATATCAAAACAAGCTTGTGGTTTATTCCTGTTGGACTCCAATTTCACCAGGGAGCCAAATGAACTGCATCTCCCAGCATTCAAAGCGAGCACTGGATAAAAGTTTGACTAATCTGTTCTGACTTTTTATCCCAGATTGTTGTTTTTTTCTCTGTTTTTTCTTTTTTGCTGTGGCTCTAATCCTTTTCCGTTCACACATGTGAACTGAATCCATTCAAATGTGTAGAGATAAAATAAGTGCTAATTGTTGAAAGAATACCCACAAAAAGTCAGAATTCTGAGATTAAAGTCTGAATTATTATGTTTTTGGCCCTAATCCTCTTCCGTACCTCATGCACCACTTTTTCCTGATGTCCAAAAATACCCAGTTGTCCCTTCAGACTACAAAAAGCGCCCCCTTGTGTTACGGTGGACAGAGGAAACATTAAATGAAAAACAATGTGTATAGCCATTTAAAAAGTTTAAAGTTGAAACTATGAGACCTTCTTCTGGATTTTCATTTCGCCATATCAGAGTGTGTTGCTCAAATGCTTAAAACATTAATTTCTGGAAGTTACACGGCATTTAAATGTTAAACAGTAAAGTGTTTTTGTTGTTTTGCTTTTTTTAATGAAGCAGGAAGGAGGAGATATTTCTTTACAGTTAAGATGTTTCAATATTCTTGAGTTGGGACTTTGAGTGAGTTTTTCTAACTAGAGATTTTTCAGATTTTAGTCTTTTTGTGACACTTTTGACTTCCCATTTATTCCAGCAGGTCAATCCAGACAGTCAGGTTCAAATTCCAGCTAGCAGAGAATGTCTTGTTATAAATACATTTAATGGCCTTAAATCAGAAAATTAAATCTGTGTGAGTGCAGAAAAATTGTGTCTGAAAGCATTTTAGATGTTTATTCTGTTACTCTTTAAAATGATTTTGCTGTTCCTGTCATCACTTCATGATGTCTGTTGAGATGCTTGTTGTTCTATATTTTCCACCAGAGCAACAACCTGATGAGGTTTCTTTACTTTTCTTTCTGAACAGATTGTGCCTCTTTATCATCAATTGATCTCTTGATCATCAATCTAAAATGTTACATTTGTTTTATCAGGTATTATCTAGAGATCTAGTACATAAGACTTAATCCCTTCAAACATCCAAGTTTGCTGGACATCAGCTGTTGCCTCTTTCATTCCTTCGTTTGGTGACTTTGTTCTCCAATTGTCTATATTAGCCATTTTGTCTGTCTTTGTGATTCTCCCATATATAAATATATGTCAAAAAACAAAAAAAGTAAATACATAAGATTATTGTTTGGTCATATATGTTTGCTTTTATTTATGTAAAATAAATGTGATATTGTTTTATTCTGATGCCTCAAAAAGAAGGGATGTGGATCTTAATGTTTGATCTGTTATTAATATTTATGTTCTGTTATTAATATTTATGTTATAGAGCAAGAACATTTTTAGTATCAACTTATTTTTGTCCCTGTGAGGAAATTTGCCTTGCAGTCAGATGAAAAACATAAAACACACAATCATAAGAATAAGCAATTTATAAAGGTTGTTAAAACATCAGTATAAATACCCATTGAAACGTCGCACTAAAATAACAATCATATTCAATCACTTTTAATCAAAGAGCTTTTCCACCTGCTGGTTCTTGCTTTCTGCTGTCTGAAACTCTTTCCAGATGACAGCAGCTCAGATTCACAATTAAGTAATAAAAGGAAGGGAGAATTTATTTTTTGTTTTCTACCTGTTGTTAAAAATGTTTTTGCTATATCAAATAATTTAGTCCCAATAGTTTTGCTGGTCACTTCAATCAATTGTTTTGTTCCTTTTTGTCTCCTTTTGATAGATTGTCTAATAAGAAATTACATAATACATGGCAGAGAAGAAGCTGCTATCTCAAACATTAGGGCCTTTGGGTAGCAATAGCCCTGAGTCTAAAACTCTGATATATGCTGCAAAAAAGTTCTAATATTTTCAGTGAGAATTTTAAATGGGTAAAATCTAAAACTCACAAATTTAAAGCAGCAAACTGATGTGCAAAAAATGACAGACTCAGAGTTTGAATAGAAAATTGATCAACAACTGAGTGACAGGAGCAGCTAAAATAGCAGAACCTCATGACAAAAAGACGAAGTTTAGTCAACATAAAGAGTTGCTACTTCTTTAAATTGTTCATTTCAAATCACTTCTTAATGCTGCAGCATTAGACAGTCAAAATTCTTCCAATTATTTATGTACTTTTTCTTTGACCCACTGGTTTTTACAGTAATTCATTAAAACCTATTTGTTTATTGATTTAAGTTTCAGTTTTATTGTAAATCAGTTTTATAAATTGTAATGTAGTTGTTTTCATTTAATATTTTTTCTGTTGTATTTTTATTGTTTTAAACTTTGTCATGTGTTATAATGGTTGGTGTAAACTGTGAAGCACCTTGATCAATTGCTGTTTTAGATTTCCTACACAAAGAAATGTGATACTGACAGTTTAGGTTGTCAGAGTAGAAACGCAGTGATTCTAGTCCTCCAGTAGATGGCGAACTCTGACTATGTTTAACTTTATCAACCAACCGACAATCAAAACATCAACCTTTGCACTCTTTGCTTTAATTTACGAACAAGTTTTGTTGGAACAGACAAGTAGAGACGTCGACAGAGTGAATCTAACAAAATGGCTGCTTCAACTGACATTTGCAACTCAGGTTTGTGACGCTTTTATAAAACTTTCCGTAAATGTTGTCTATCTTGGAGTATTGTTTTATAAACTTTCATTTTAGTGGCTGAATATGTTGAATTTCAAGACTTTGACTTTATGTAAGAGATGGGAGTTGGACAAAATGTCTCCTGCTTTTCTAGTTATTTTTGTTTAAGTTTTATTTTAAATGTAATTGTGTGTATAAATGTTATTGATATTTACTTTATTAGAAAAGTGTTCCAATAGGAATATACAGTTGACTTAGAATCTATATTTTGTGCTGGTATGAACAAAGTAAATGTTTCTGAACTGCATTCTAATGACCCCTTCTCCTGACAGCACAAAGTCATCCTGCTACAGAGTTGAGGATTGTGTTGATTGGAGGAAGATATAATGACCTTCCCAGTGGTAAAAGTTCAGCTGGAAACATCATCCTGGGTCAAAATGTTTTTGACACCAGCAGAAGAACAGCTCAGAGTGAAGCGAAGCAGCAGGAAGTGTTTGGCAGACGAGTCACAGTGGTTGATACTCCAGGATGGTGGTGGGGATGGCCTAGAGAAGAAACTCCAAAACTGGATCAGATAGAAATCCAGAACAGTGTCCATCTGTGTCCTCCAGGACCTCATGTCTTTCTGCTGGTCATTCCTGTTGATTTACCTGAAGATCCGATTGTCAAATCATCACTACAGCAACACTTGGAGCTTTTTAATGCAGATGTTTTCATTTACACCATCGTTCTGTTCACTGCTGTTTCTCCGTGTAGTGATGAAGAGATAGAATCTAAAATCAGAAGAAATCCAGTCCTGCAGTGGATTCTTCAACAATGTGGAAACAGAAAACATTTTCTCAACTTCAGTAACAGAGAAGATAGAGATCAAGTCAAGAAGCTTTTAGAGAAAATTGAGACCCTGATTACAAACAATGGATTCAGACACTGTTCTGTTGACAGAAGTCAAGGAGAAACTCTGAGAAAAGAAATGAGAGATTTGACTGAAAGAGCCTCAAAAAGGTTTGATCAAGTCCAGAAACAAAGAAAGAAACTCAAGGAGCTGATTGAAGGTAGGTNGGATTTAGTGAGGAAAGATCAGTCAGGATCAGAGCTGAAGCTGCTGTTCTTCAGTCTGTTTCCCAGCTCAGCTTCACCATGTCGGTATTTAGCTATAAAGATGCTACGAGTCAAAGCCAAACATGCTGAAAATGTATTTTTCTGAATATGAAGGAAGAATGTGTATTTTCTATTACACTTTTGGATAATTTCTCTTTTATCCTTGGCTTTAGCCTGTGAACCAGGATGTCTCAGAAGTCATTGGAGTTCTCCCAGTGTGACCAGCAGACTGAAGCCCTGGCTCTGAC